TCACTAGCAATGCTCAATAACAAGGCAACCAATGCCAAATTAGAGAGTGCAAATACTTAGCTACACAAACTAAGCAATGTGACTAACAAGGTTACACAAACCAAATTAGCCACGCAAGGGAGCTACTTCTATGCTACACAAGCAAGAAAGTAACTAGTGAGCTACACAAGCTAACTAATTACAAGAGCAACTACACAAGCACAATGTATATGAAAGTAATCACAAGCTTGTGTAAGGGGATTGCAAACCAATGGGAAGAACAATGTTGACATGGTGATTTTCTCTCGAGGTTCACGTGCTTGCCAGCACGCTACGTCCCTATTGTGTCGACCGATCACTTGGTGGTTCAGCGGCTAATTGGCTTCACCCACCAAGTCCGCACGTCGGGCACCGCAAGAACCTACCCTAAAAGTGAGGGTAGCTCAATGACATGCTCAACTAGAGTTGCTCTTTGCGGCTCCCGTGGGGCGAGCACAATGCCCCTCACAAAGCTCTTCTCCGGAGCATCGCACAAGCTTCTTGCGGGCTTCGACGGAGACCACCACCAAGCCGTCTAGGAGGTGGCAATCTCCAAGAGTAACAAGCACTACCGGCTTGCAACTCGATCATCTAGTGCCACTCGATGCAACCTCACGATGCAATCGCACTAGAATAGCTCTCTCACACAATCGGATGATCACTATCAAGCATATGTGAGATGGAGGGCTCCTAAGCACTCTCAAGCATGGACACAAAGTCCCCCGAGGTGCTCAACTCCAGCCATGGCTGAGACCCCCTTCTATTTATAGCCCCACGGGCTAAACTAGCCGTTACCCCTTCACTGGGCAAAACTCGGGACGACCGGATGCACCCAGCCAGCGTCCGATCAAAGGATGGCTGCCACGTCATCCCTGGCTTCAAATACCGAGCGCCTGATCTCAACGATTAAGTTGCGATCGGACACTGCATTGTGTATGACCGGACGCAGGACCCTAGCGTCCAGTCACTTCTAGTAAGGTTCCAGATATGCTCAACTGCGACCAAACGCGTCTGGTCGGTCATGATCGGACGCTGTATCAGCGTCCGGTCCTTCTCCTCTTCTCTACGTTGCCACGTCAGCGGGACCGGACGCACCCACCCAGCGTCCGGTCGAAGACCGATGCTAGCGCCTTCACTGCTGCCACTGACCGGACATAGGACCCCAGCATCCGGTCACTGCGTGATCAGCGTCCGGTGCACTCTGTGAAACCCATTCTTTTCTGTATAGGGCGCCAGTGAAGTTTCAAACCCTTCTCGCCTCAGTTTCAACGCCGAGTTGATCCACATCAACTCCAACTTCATCTCCCTTGTAAATGTGCCAACACCACCAAGTGTACACCACCATGTGTATGTGTGTTAGCATTTTCACAATCATTTTTCCAAAGGATTAGCCACTCAACTTGCCACGCCACTCGATCTAGCGACGATACAAAGTTAGATCACTCGAGTGGCACTAGATGACCGATATGCAAACAAGTTTGCCCCTCTTGATAGTACGGCCATCTATCCTAAACCTAGTCATAAACTTCTCTACACACCTATGACCGGTAAAATGAAATGTCCTAGGTTATACCTTTGCCTTGCGCATTCCATTCTTTCTCCTCCAATGTTGATGCAACACATGCACCAACCAATCACCAAATGATATGATCCACTTTATATCGTCATGTGACCGTATTGGTTCATCAATCTTGAATTTACTTGCTTTTCACCGTTGCCTTCATCCATCGGCGCCAAGTCTTGCTTAAGCTTCACCGCCACGTGGTCCATCGCTCTAAAGTCTTCGACTTGCCCTTCACGCTTGCAACCGGTCCATCAAGCCAAGTCTTGTCTTGATTTTCTCTACCTTGATCACAAGACTCAATGTCATGTCTCATGTGCAATGAGCTCATTTATCATCACATGTGTGAGCTTTGCAACATCTCCAAGCCATTTCCACCTTCATGGCAAATGTTGCTCACACACATGTACATGTGGACTAATTACCTATGTATATCCAATAAACACAATTAGTCCAACTAGGTTGTCACTCAATTACCAAAACCACACAGGAACCTTTCAGTCGACCGAGACCGGCCGATGCCATGGTGCGCGCGGCCGCAGCCGGCCAACACTCGGCGCCGTGGTGACCGCGAACACAACCGAAAGATGAAAAACGATGACGTGCGCGCTATTTAAAGCAGACCAAAAACCACTTAAAAGCCTGACTAAGGCTAAACCAATTTCACAAACCTATAGTCCACACCACCGGCTAGCTAGGGAAACACTCGGCGCGACCAAAGAGCGATTAGGGAAAAAGATACGAGAAGGCCAAGATGAGTTCGTCGCGCAGCGTGCCGGTTCGCGAATAGAACACCGAATGTGGTTCTTCGCGTGTTCTAAGGAGTTTCAAGCAATTCTTGGGGTAACCCCGCTGCGTCAGACCATCCTACGAACTACACCAAGCCAAGGTACTCGCCGTGAATCATCAAACTATACAAAAACATGGATATATTGTTTAATCATTTTTGTTAAATTTTAAATACCAAAGTAGCATCGTCTATATCGTCCCTGACTTAGCAATTGATGAGGGGCTCGTTAGAACTTAACACCTGTTAACACTTTTGTCTTAATTTTTACAAGGTTTAAACCTTGTCGACTTCAACTAACAACATAGCATGACATAGTCCATACTTCATACTATTTCGTGGAACAAAATATTAAAGCGCTATTTAAGTAGGTTCCACTATATAATTCACCCAAGATAGCACTTTTAAACACAAATCATTAGTTTGCCGACTCAACGAAATTCGGTCTTTGAGCTATCAGAAATACCTTGGAACAACACCTATTCATCAAATCCACAGTTGCACTTCGAATTTATTTAAGTACTAAATACAAGTTATATTTTATCTTTGTTTGTAAAAAATTGTTCTTCATGCTTAATCAAATAAACAAGACATTTACTATTTACTCGCTATCAGGCATTAACCTAGATGTTAAGCAAGCTCGTTACAAGCAGCACCGCCATGGAACTGGCCATTGCTAGCATTGATCACTCGATGACTATGCCGCGCGTCTATTCTCAATTATTGGCACTCGCAGCGTTTCTTCGTCTGTATGATGATGGGCACTGGCCCGGCTCGCAATCAGAATAAAATTATTTTGTAGCTGGCTACTAGTTGGGTTACTATAACACATGGGGATATTTATCATAATGTTATAGTAAACCACTTAGTAAGGAGTTACAATAATCTCGTAAATTAACATAGTAATTATCGTAACTCAAAGTGGCTACAGAATAAATTATTTTGTAGCCAGGTTCTCTCTCCCTCTCTCTCTCTCTCTATATATATATATATATATATATAATTTTCCTAAAAGTTAATAAATATAACCAAATCGAGAGTACTAGAAAATCAAAGATAATTTCTCTAGATATGTAAAGGAAGGTTTATTTCAAGATAAAATATTCTTTGGGCATCTGCACTCAATCCGTGCACTCAGCCAGTACGCAATGGAAAAAAATGACAAAGGTAGAAGAATGGGACCAAGTATATATGCTTAAGAAGCTTAGGAAGATCTCAGGCTCAAACATACATGTCAGTCATCTATCAACCTCCAATCTAACAGCTGAGATTCTCATATACCACACAATGAGATTGTCAAATTACAAAAAAAAAAAAAAAACTCCATCGTCCTCCCGCAAAAGAGATGTATATGGGTTGTCGGCATGGACCACCATATGTCTAGGGGGCAGAATATGTCCTTTGTGATCATACTCGTGTGTTAATACCGTCGACAAGCCCTGAATCCTTCGTACTAGAGTTGCCTTCTCTTGATCTTCTTGTTTGACTAGTTCCAGCCTTTCAGGAACCAACATTGGCGCAACTCCTTATACATCGGGTATGAGCATTAAGCCTTACTCGAGCATGATTAAAAGAAGCTTGGGAGAGCTTGTTGGTGGTCGTTAAGTGCATATTTCGATCAACACCTCTTGGCAAATGAATAGGGTAGGGACATTTTTTTTCATGCATTAAACAAATACATTCCATGAGTTGTGGTGCATCTAGGTGTTTTGTAGGTTATGCTCGAGATATACACAAAAATGCATTAATGGAGCTTATGAAATTATGAAGATGGAGTTGATACGAGATCCAAACTATCATTATTAAAAACAATTTCAAAAGGCCAAATTTGACTTCACCATGTCAAAGGGTTTGTCAAGATGAATAATTTGAACTTTTGGTTCATCCCATTTGGAGTGCGAACGCAAAAACTAAGCCTTCCGTAAGTTTATGGCACGGGCTATGCACGAGCTAGGGAGGGTCAGCCGACCCATGTATCCAAGCGTAGGTCAGTCAACTCAAAACCAAATCGAATGACCCTCTCCTTACTCATCTTACTCTCATAGGTTCCGAGGCAAAATATGGGGCATATCATAGGCCTTATTATTAGGACCTTAGTTTCAAGGTCGAGTGACCCCTTAATTCATCATTTGATTTGTTTGTAAAGTTAGGTGTATCTATATATAGAGATTTGCAAGACGTTGAAAGCCTAAAGTGAGTTATTTAACAAAGTTGAGCACACGGTTGAACCATAGGGCTTGGAGACTGTTAATGTAAAATTGATGCTCATGAATATATCAATGCCTCTAAATACAGCATCCGGCCTGCCATATCCTACTATATATAACCATGCAAAATTAGTGGGCCTGGCCTTGAGAATTTTTGGCCTAGTGTTGTATACGTGAGGGAGAGGAAGAAGGGGTGAGGTTGAACACGATACGGTGGTAGGGAGACAATGAAGATCCGACGGCTTTGGTTCATTGCATGAGAGAATTATTTGATTTTTTTTAAAAAAGAACAGGCGCCAGCTAAATAGCAGTCCCCTTATTGAAATCTATCTATAAACACGATACAGTCCAGGCCCAAATAGGCCCAGTTCCTTCACCTCTCGTATACATCCCCAGCTCTCATCTCGCCGCTTGTGGTGAATTGTGATCAGTTGTTGCGCGCGTGCGCAGCGGGGTAGTCGAACGACAGCTCACGCACGCTGTCGTTGAGCGGGGCGGCGTGGCGGAACCAGTACGCGCGGAGCACCTGGTCGTCCGCGAACGCCAGCGCGCGGCGCATCCCGTCGTCGCAGCTCTCCCTCGAGTACATCGGGTTCCGACCGCCGCTGCAGGGCTGGTAGCCCACGAAGTGCGTGATGAGCGGCCGCCGCCACCCCTTCACCCCGCCACCGGCCGGGCCCGGGACGCCGCCGCTCACTGCCGCGTTCCGCGCCGCCGCGTACCGCAGGTGCTCCCGCTCCGCGTGCCGCCGCCGGAGCCCCGGCGTGCGCGAGCGCCGCTCGACGGCCTCGTACCGCGCGGCGACGCCGTCGAGGCGGTCCACGACCTCCTTCCAGTAGCCCTGGAAGAAGTAGTCCGTCTCGACGAAGGTCTTCTTCCCCAGCCTCTCCCAGCCGTTGAGGAGCAGGTAGACGAGCGCGGACTGGTCGCACGCCACGTCGGAGTCCACGTCGCTGAGCGTCTTCCCCCACCGGGCGTGCTCCTCCGGGTAGGCGGGGCCCATGCGCGCCCACTCGTCCATGAAGTCGAGCGACCACTGGCAGTTGCGGATGAGGAACACGCCGGCGTTGAGCCCGAGCCACGACTTGCGCACGAAGAACTTGTCGGGCCAGCCGTACGCGACGAAGTTGCGGCCGGCGTACTTGGCCGGCGTACGCGACGAAGTCCATGTCGGTGAAGACGGCGTCGGAGTCCAACCACCAGACCCACTCCGCCTCCGGGTGGGCGAGCATGGCGGCGCGCACGATGGGGACCTTGGCCCAGTAGCCCCGCATGGCCGGGTGCAGGAACTCCCTGTTGTAGATCAGCTCGATCCCGTGGAGGCGGCAGCAGTTCAGCTTGTTCTTGAGGAACCGCAGCATCAGGTGGTCGCCAGCCCCTGCGGCCCTGCGCCGTGGTGCTTGCTCATCCCTGCCGAAGCGGAGACGAGGAGCGAAGCGGCCTCCGACGCGGCGGCCATTCCGTGCTACCGTTCGGCGTTCGCGCGGCGCGGGGCTAGGTCGCCTCGATCGGCTCGTCGCCAGTGCCCGGTGGACGGTGGTGCGGCGATGCAGGCAGCACACCGCGCTAGGCGTGCCGTGTGCCGTGTACTGCGGACGTGTTTGTAGTCTCGTGCGGGGAAATTAAAGAGCATGACATGACTGCGGCCCCCTGGGCCCTGGGCCGGGAGTTGGAGCGATCACGTGAGTCCGAGAAGGCGAGAAGAGCGGAGTCAACCAATCCGCGAAACAGGCTGGGGTCATATGATTTTCCTCTTTTTTTAGGCTCGTAGCCTCGTACGTAGCACTGTATAATATTGGCACTCGAGAGTCGAGATCTCTGATCTCTGCCGACAAAATGCTCGGAAGTACCCTTTATATTTAACACAAAGCCCAACGGTAAATTCTCAAGATTGGTCAAATCAACTGAGTGCTCTGTATTTAGAGCGTGCAACTTGTAGCGGTATTTGGTTATTTGCTAATAGTATTGGTATCTCCCCAACTTCTAGAATGAGTGAATGACTCTTTTAGGTACCGTTCGGTTAAGCAAGAACGGGGTGTTCCACGCCCGCAATGGTTCCCACGTAGTATAGATTGTTGAAGGACCCGTCTGAGTGGGAATGAATCCTTACTAACCGAACGAGGCCATAGGGCCTGTTCGGCAGCAGCCGGACTAGGTTTGGTTCCGGGCCAGTATACACCAATTTTCAATACGGATGGCTCCATTCCACCCGGAACGACCACCAGAACGGCCCGTTCCCAAAGAAACGAATCGAGCCTTAGTGGGATAGATAGAGTAGTTTCAAGCAGTAGATGGAAGTGGAAACAGTGAAACACGAGCTAATAATGGAGAAACCTACATCTGAAAATCAATTACAAAAAAAAAGAGCTAGGCCACCATACCTCATTGTTATATATATCTCTACCCGGTAAGCATGCAAATGTGAAATATTCTACTAGTTAAGGGTGTGTTTGATAGAGATCTAGATTCTTATATAAACGTTTTAGAACCAGAATGTCTTAAGAAATGTTTCGGATGATTAATTAGGATCACTTCGTGAGATCATTTGGCTGTTAGACTAGATTTTGACTCGCAAAAAAAGAATCTCTTAAACTATTTGCACTATAATCTGGTCTGATTTGCTTTACCATTTACTGCCCCCCTGTTCGCTTGACTGATAAGCCATGGCTGAAAGTACTGTTGACTGATTTATTGTGAGAGAAAAATACTATTTATTAGCTGAAAAAGTATGGCTTATAAGTCAAACGAATAGGGCGGTACTACATCACTGGAACCAAACGACACCTTTTAAGAGTTTGTTTAGGATTGCTCCACTAACTATAACATGGAACTCCACAAGAAAAATAGAGTTTCTAAAATATCCTTTAGGTGCTCCGCAAAACATCTTGAGTTGATCCTCAACTCTACTTTTTTTCTAGAGTAGATTTTACAGAGCTATCTCTGTTTAGCTAGCAAAGTTGAAAATAGAGCTAAAAAGGTGAAGGCAAGCAGTCCTACATAATCTCTAAAAATTAGGGTCTATCTACTCAAAACTCAGGTGATTTTCACCCTCCTGTCATCCGAGTGACAAAACACATTAAAACACTCGAATCTACCAAGCAAACTAAATCGAGTGTTTCAAGCCTCTACAACACTCGATTCCCATAACCACAAGATCAACATCTAACGACCCAAATAAAAAGAGATCAAAATCAGAGCAAAAAAACATAGAAAAATTACAAATTAAACAGACCGATTCTACGAAAGGCAAATTAGAAAAAAAATCAAAGCAAAAAACATAGAAAAAAGACAGATTAAACAGATCAGTTCTATGAAAGGCAAATTAGAAGAAGATCAAAGCAAAAAAACATAGAAAAAAAACAGATTAAACGGATCAGTTCTATGTTAGGCAAATTTGAAGAAATTCAAAGCAAAAAAAAAAAGAAAAAAGAAAAAAGAAAAAATACACATTAAACAGATCAGTTCTATGAAAGACAAATTAGAAGAAGATTAAAGCAAAAAAAAACATAGAACAATCAATTTACATCATGGAACACAAAACTTACACCCAAATCAAAGTAGTAAATCAATTAGATGTAATCTGCCGGGGTGCAGGGTCTCGGGCGCGCCGGGGTGCGGTGGTGCGGTGGGCGACGATGGCACCGGGACGGCAGGGGCCACAGGTTTGAGCGGCGCGGGCGCGCCGGGGTGCGGTGGCGCGGACGCCGGGGCGGGGTCGAAGGCAAGGAAGAAAGAGTTGGCTGCACCAGGACGGCAGGGCCGCAGGGACGAGCAGCGCGGCCGCGCTGGGGTGCTGGGTCACGGGCGCAGCGAGGTGCGGTGGCGCAGACGACGGGGCGGGGTCGGAGGCAAGGAAGAAGAACGCTCGAGGAAGAAAGAGTCGGACGCGAGCTGGAAGAAAGAGAGCCTTGGAACTAGTACTAGTAGTTTACAAATGACCCAGTGAAGCGTTGATTTCTTACTGCGCTGGAGTTAATGCAGTGGGCCATACAGGAGAAGCAGCAGCCCTAGAAACACCGTGATTCTATTCGCTCGGCGGAGATTAGAGCACAGAGGAATCGGACGGCCGAAAAAATCGAATGACAGCAGCCGGAGAATTGCTCGAGCGACGTACAAATTTACTGAAAAATTAATTCTTTTTCGACAGAAGGGAGTAATCCTTCCTAGGTAGCTCGAAAATCCACGCCCGCCGAGGCCAGTGTACAGTTTAGTCTATGTTTACCTGGACGTCGGTGCACGCAAAATGCGCAAGGGCACCACACGTTTCGTTTTTTTGTTGCAGATTTGCAGGGGTAGGTTAATTATTACCAAGAGCACCTCCATTGTCCCGTTGATTCCCATGTCCGAAATGTTTTTTCTGACTTAACCATCGATATAAACAAGTACGCATTGCAGGTTTTGCGCCTGCTGTAAGTATTATTGCTTATATATTATTCTTTGATTGCAGTGCTAACTTGATTAATGCTCTGATATTTCATTAGCCGGTGGACGATTAGGCAAGACGCGAGACCACGCAAGTATTTTGGTTTCAGAAGGGTTCGTGGGACCTCATGGGAAGCGTGGCAGGTTTTCGATGGTCTCGGAAGAGACGAATGCCCCATTCGCTTGTTCTATATGAGTCATACTATTTCAGCGAACGAACATTTTTTCTTTAATAATAAATCAGCGAACAATATTTTCAGCCATAGCTTTTCGGCAAAGCGAACAGGGCCAAAGAGGACTCACTCTCTCAGAGCAAGTATTATAAGGCTGACTCAACAGGCTGAATCTAAGCCACGTAGGAAAAAGTCATGATGTGATAAAGAGAGAAATGGAGAGAGAAAACCAACCGGCGCTAAACTCTTCGTCCGGCTGAATAGCCCGATACCACCCGTTCCCAGCCAGTCATGGGCGCTAAGCTGACATTTCGCTCCCCACCTTCTCTCCCTCTCGATCTCGTGCGGCACCCGCGCCCTTCCTCTCGATCTTGCACCCCCTCTCTCTTCCTGCGGCAAATCCCGCACCGGTGTGGGGCTTCCACGCGGAGCAGGGCCACTCACTCACTCGGCAGCGGCGGGGGCATGCCCGGCGCGGGCCGGGGTGGGGCGGCGTGTCGGCAGCACTGGCGGAGCCGCGCGAAGCTGGGCTGCTCGGCGGCGGCGGGGCTCGTTCACGCGGCGGCAGGGCCGCTCGTCGGCGGCGGGGGCGCGCCCGTGTGGGGCACGGCGGAGCGGCTCGTTGGCACCACGGCAGGACCGCGCGGGGCTGGGCAACTGGCTGCTCTTTGGCGGCGGGGCGAATCTTCGGCGACGACACGTGGCCGGGCAGCGGGAGCAACGGCGAGGGGGCGAGGCTGCGCAGGCCAGCGGCTGATCTGCTTGAAGTAATGGCCTGTGTGGATTATTGCCTGAAATTTGTCATTTATGTGGTATTGTTTGTTTTATTTTAGTACCTACCGTTTTCATCCCAGAATACGTTGTTTGGTAATGGCATGGATGAACATATCTGTTTTCTAGATGAATGAGCACATATGTGTGGGCACAGAGATATAGGTCACGACAGATTGTCGTCATGTTCGCTTGGCTTATAAGCCGTACTTTTTCAGTCAATGAACAGTTACTGCGTTCGGCTGGTACAGTCCTGGCTTGTTTTAGCTTATTCTCTCTCACAGAATACTATTCAATCATTCAAAATCTACTGTTCAATGGACCCTCCGAGCAAGCTGAGTATTTTTCTCTCACAATAAATCAGTCAATAGTACTTTCAGCTATGCATATGAGAACATTAAATACTTACTACTATATCTACTGTAGCTAGTTAAATAGCTAACCCATAATACTAGCAGGCTGAATGGTTGGCTGTAAATGACATGGGATTGGCTATAGCCTTCAGCTGGCTAAATTAGGGCGGCTGCACAGGAAATGGTTGGGTCTTCTTCGGCTATTTGCACTAGCGGAGGCCGTTTTAGGCTGTCCACGGCATGAGTGATGTACGTCATCCTATTTGTGTTCGCCACATTACTGTGGTGTTTTGTTTCATTCTTAACCTACAGCTAGCTTGTAGTTTTACTCATTTTAATTTCAGTGAACCCATGAACAGTAAAAAGTAATAAGCTTGAATCTTATTTTTTTTTACAATGTACATCTGTAGATACTATAGATGTGCATTGTTTTTTTTTCTAAAAAAAGTGCTATGTATATTTTTCTGAGGATTTTTTTTACGATACTATCGAAGAGATAGTTTACAATGCATATTTTTTTCTAGAAAAAATATCCCACGTCCTAAAGGCGCCTAG